CAATTGCACAGGAGCACAGAGAACAGACATGGAGGCTTGAACAAAATTTCTCTAAAAACTTGTGTAAAGATTCCTATTTGACTTAAGCGCCATAAACGGCAACTTCCCCACTTAAAAACCCTCTTTGACAGCATGATGGCGCTGACGTTGCACAAATTACACTAGACACTAAGTGCTAGTAGCGCCAACTGGCAATTTTCAACAGAAAATTTATCGATACTAGCGCCAAATTGGTCGAAAGTGGAAAATTTATAGAGAAAATCAGGAGATGCTAACACCACGTAACGGCGACGTTCCCAGGGGGAACGACACTTCAAGATTATCCCATTTTTACCCAAATCTCTCATAAAATTATCAACGTGCACAAAATTTGAATCCATCACATCTATTCTTTCTATTCCCAACTTATCCCTTCTGCAGGCACACTAATTATCAAGCAAGTCGTGCAGTTTCTCGCAGTTTTTAGGTCGACCACGAAGCACTCTGCCATAATCGCTGTCAGTTTTCAACGATCTCATTAAAATAAACGATGGACCACTCGTTCATAATCGGTCACGGGGACAAAAGCATCAAGCGCATCATGGAGGAGACGGCAACGTACATCCACTTTCCGGGATTAAAACGATTGAATCCGAAGGAAAAGAGGATTCAGGTGTCGGTGTATAGTAGCTTGCAAGGGGCCAAACTGCTGATCCTAGCCCCGGGAAAAGCATCACCGGACAATGGAACCGCCTTCGTCGAACAGGTGGAATAAGAATTCATTTTTTTCTAATCGGCCCAAGTTGTACTCTTGGCTGGGGTTGGTCATGAGCTTGGAGAAGTAAGCCGCCCGCTGGCTGATGGAATTTTTGTACGCGAATTTTGCGAATCAAATTCCCGTCCAAATAGAGCTGGGATATTAACCGGAACCTAGTGATCCATCGCCATTTACTTATACACTTGTTTTTCTTCCGCTGCACCTAGATAGAATCGAGCAAGTCTGACAGCCACCAAATCTGACAATAAATCATTCAAAATTATTATTTGTTATTTAATACAATCATGGAAAACATTTTGTTGCTGGACATATCGACTAACATTTGAAAATGGTCTAAAATGTTGATTTTTCATAATTAATATCTTGTGATCCGCATTAACTTAAGAACGTCTGGACTTAGGAAAAAAGTTCATGTAAACAAATTTAACAGAAATTAAGCGAAAATCTAAATTAATTATTATTTTACTAAAAAAATGTGCAATTTCATTATATTTTAAAAATCAATAAAACTTAAAAATTACTTAAAACGTCAATTTGTTTAAGTTTATCACATACGACCAATTCAAAACGCACTCCAGACTTATCCTCTTCGCGTTCAGACTCGTATCCCTCTGAAATTTTTTTACACCTCTCACATCCATTCCATCCCCTGATCCATTCCAATTTATTTTTTTCTATCCTTGCTCCATTTTCATCAAGACGACACACTCAAAAAAATCCCATCAATTATGTTGTCCCCGAAAATCCCAAGTAATTATTAAAGTGAAAAAATGCATCCAAATGAGTGTCGTTCCCCCTGGACGTTCCCACTTATTTTACACAAGTTTCTGACCGAACTTGAACGTCTGTTCTCTGTGACAGGAGTCTAATTTGGTGCAAAATGTGCAATAGTATTTTTCCAATGGATTTTGTTTCAGTGCAGGCTCAGGCATTTCTTTTTTATCTAGTTCGTTTAGTTGGAAGGCTCAATCGCGTTACCTTCACGGAACCGATATCCTCAGGCAATTTGAAAATGAACTAAGATCACAGAGAACATACGTTCAAGTTCGGTCAGAAACTTGTGTAAAATAAGTGGGAACGTCGCCGTTACGTGGTGTTAGCATCTCCTGATTTTCTCTATAAATTTTCCACTTTCGACCAATTTGGCGCTAGTATTGATAAATTTTCTGTTGAAAATTGCCACTTGGTGCTACTAGCACTTAGTGTCTAGTGTAGTTTGTGCAACGCCAGCGCCATCATGTTGTCAAAGAGGGTTTTTAAGTGGGGAAGTCACCGTTAGTGGTGCTTAAGTCGAATAGGAATCTTAACACAAGTTTTTAGAGAAATTTTGTTCGTGCCTCCATGTCTCTTCTCTGTGCTAAGATGTTCTTTTGTTGATCGGCCGAATTTTGTGAAGGTCTGTCAACATTGATTCCCTGTCTATCAGAAACAAAGTCTGCTGGAATCTCGGCTGGAATTCGACAGTGAGCATGCATAAGGGCGTATACGCGAAGATCGGTTCTCTTCGTCGATTTTCTCTTTTGTTAATAACTCGCTAGATTTTATGTTTCTCGGTGCGTTTGTTGTTGCTTTTGATAGCCAATACAACCTGTTACAACCATAGAGGTAACTCTAAGACTAGAAGGTCCCGAAATAACGTGCTCAACTTTTTGGCTCAGCTCTGGTACTCTCTTCGGTCCCAAGCTAATCGATTCACCCCTCGAAACATAGGAAAAACCAATAACCCCTCATTTTATCTGTCAAACTTTCATAGCGAATCAAAACAAACATTGCGTAGTACTAGAATTTCGACTAGAATGGTGTACGTTAATCGTTTGCTTGGGACCAATAGGCTAGTCAAGTAGTGAGCCAATTTAAAATCGTTAGTTTCGTATTGATTGTTGTTACAACTCTGTATTGCACAAATTCTAGAAAATTGTTTCGCTTAGCTGTAGCAATGCAAAGAGAAAATCGATGAAGAGAATCGATCATCGCGTATACGCCCTTATGCATGCTCACTGTTGAATTCTTCGATACAATCGATGTAAATATTTACTTTTTTTGAAAAATCTCAGGTAATCATGACAGCAGTTGGTCTCTTTTCTTCATTCATATTGTTTTCAATAATCAAACGTCATGATTACCTGGGTTTTGTCAAAAAAGGTAAATATTTACGTTGTTTGTACCAATTAAAGAATAGCAGGTTTATTTGAAAATCGATTTTAAGTGAAAAACCACTCAATTATGATTTCTCGCGTCACTTTTCAAATAGACCAATGTAACAAATGTAAACAAATCGAGTTTAGCGATACTAACTATTGCTCTTCTATCGTTGTATGTGATACAAAAACATCCATCCTAATTTAATTTCATTTATTTAAAATAATCATTGATCAAAAATTGTCCAATGTACAGTTTGAAATGATGGGTACATGATTGTTACTTCGGTCATTCGGACTGCTTAATATGATTGGTGCTCATTTTCCAAAGGCGGGGCCAATCTAAAGTTAGATACTATACTCTGAAATCTGTGAAAGGGAATCTAATATTATGTAGACAAAACGTCCAATGTAACACTGATTGATTATGTCAGTGAGAAAAATCGTCCAATGTAACATGTCCGATGTACAACTCGACTTATCAAAACGTCCACTAAGATTTTTTTACAGTATACTGTAATTTTTTACCGAATATGGAACAGCTGAACATTCGGTAATCGATTCGGTAATTTTTTGGATTTACAATTCATTCGGTAAATTTGTCTTACCTCTTGAGCTGTCAAAAGTTACTGACCTGGACTGTGAATAATACTGAATGATTGGTAAACTTTACAGTAGCGTTCAGTAATGTTTTAACCGAAATATCTGTAAATTATTTTCCATTGTGGTAATATAAATTGCAATTTAATCAGCAATAATTAACGAACTGTTTGTTCCATTAACATATATTTTATTGTATTCTCCCTGGTATTTTGAACAACACAGCAAAATTTGCGAAGCCAAGAAAATGATTCTTCAGGTCCAGTTCCTGCAGGGAATCCAAACCAGGTTATCGCCGGCAACATGCAGTTGCGGGAAACATCAGGTCACCTTAAGTCCAAGATGACTGGAAGCGATGGCCTATAGGATCGAAATTAAAGTAAAATAATTCTCCCCTCCATATATTCAGCAGACTATAGCAAAATACTTACTTTTACAAAAAACACTCCACTTCGAAATAGCGGCAAAGGATGTTTTTGACAGTATGACATTTACAAATCTGTTCCGTAATATTTACAAGAATCTGGTATTTTACTACCATTTGTTTTTGTAAAAAACTAGTTTTACAGTACGTTCGCCACTTTTTTTTACAGTATAATAGAATTGCAGCCATTTACAGTTTAGATCAGTAATTTTTATTTACAGTTTTCGGTAATTTACGGAAAGTACGTAAATTCAGTATTATTTTTTGCTGAAAGTTTGTAAAACGATACATTTTGCAAAGCTTTCGGTACAAAATATATTTTACAGAACGAATTCAGCAAAAAAAGTACCGAATAGAATTTAAGAAATTTGGTGTGTATGTGGTTTTTTCTATGTTGTAGCATGAAATTCAAAGTAAAATTGTGATTTTACTGTTTCTTCTGAATTTTCAACGTTATTATACACTGACTACATTAAAAATAGTATTGCAAAATGTATTGTTTTTAAACAGTTAAAATAATAATCTGTTGAACTTCAACTTCGATTTTCTCAAAATGGTGGATATGTTACATTGGTCTATTTGAAAAGTGACGCGAGAATTTCGTCTCATCGGCAGTGTTCTAAAAGATTGCTGTCAAAAAGACGTCAACTTTTTTAGAACACATTTTCTCTCCAATCAGTCTCTTCTGAGAGCGACTAATATTCTCCCATCAGACCAAATGTACAGTAAATGTGTTGTGGCAGTGTTAAATCGTCGTCTCTTTCGTTCTCCCGCTATTTCAATGGTTTACGGAGTGTGACGTCAAACTCCGTCGTTCATGGAAACGCATTTAAATAGCCGAGGAACGAAAGAGACGACGAATTCTCTGAGTCTCAAATGCTTACCCTCATAGGCCCAGACCAGCAACAGCAACCACCTGAGAGCAAAAGAAACGCAACTAGCGTGCCGCGTGGGGATCCACGAAAAGATCATATGAATGAAGTTGGACTCTCCGGTGGTGCGAGCTAGACGGCAGCAGTCTCATATTGTTGGCCTTCAGCGCAAGCCGACCTGGCGAGAGAAAAACCGGATTCTGGCCCCAACTCGACTCGACTCACGACTCGGCTACAACTAGCAGAGCTATCCGGCGTTCATTCTCTTTGGATTGTGCCCTCCGTACGGTTAGGAAGCTCGCGGCCTTTGTACCTTCAGTGCGCTCATCGCCTAGTGTGTGTGTCAGAAAAAAAGAATCAGAAGCAATGTCTGGAAAGAAGCCTGATCCCTATGGCTTCGCCAAGGATTTCCTGGCTGGTGGTATCTCCGCCGCCGTGTCCAAGACTGCCGTGGCCCCGATTGAGCGCGTCAAGCTGTTGCTGCAGGTACAGGCTGCTTCAAAGCAGATCGCTGTCGAGAATCAGTACAAAGGTAGGTGGTGTGGTGCTGTTCTGTCGGTCCCGGGTGTGCTGCCACAGTGCTATGTTCCAACATGGCTGCCGCCATCTTTCTTTTTATTAATATGCGAAATTTTTGCAATTTTCGATTCCACTCGGCAATGATTTTATTTTTTTTTGAACGGCATTCCGGGTGCAGTTCTATTGAGAAGACGATTTTTAAAATTCAGCGCAGCACACCTCGGGCGGGGTTGTTAGGTAATATGTCCGTGGTGGAAAATACCGTTTCACGTGACGGGGTTGAACAATATAGGGGTTATGTAACACTGCAGGGGTTGATGATTGTGGTACGGCGACTGGAAAATTCTTAAACTCCAATTCTATTCTTCCGGGACAGCCGAGAAGTTCCGTGTTTTGGGAATTTAGGGAATGATTTAGGAATTTAGGTAAAGTAGGTAGGTCCCGTAAGGTGGTTAATGAGTAAGGTTTGGTGAACGCGCAGTGACGCATTTCGAATTGATCAATTCGAAGGACAGCAGAATGCAAACGTCCGAATAAGTTGAAATGAATTTCTGGGAATTATTTAAATTTTATTAAAATAGCTGTATAGAGGCTCTTTATCGATCGGTGTCTGGAAAACGGTTGCGTAATCGGCTACCAGTACCAATTAAGTTGTAAATGGAGTGACATAGATGCAGGGAAATGTACGCCAAAGAATGTTCTTTTGTAATGTAACTAAATATTTTAAATTGTTGTAGTTTGGGTACTTCTGCACAAATGTTAATTTAATTTCCGCTTAAAAAATGTAGGATGAGATCTCGTAATCAGGCAGGTGTATCTCCTGAAAATGAGGAGAGCCATAACAAACAGACTTTTAATTGTTTTAATGATACTTAACGTATATAGATTTCATGAACAAAGTTCTGGTTGTGTTTGTATTTTGTAACAAATTAATTGATCATGACCGAATCCGAATGGAAAGCATATTATTATGTTTGACTATTATTATGTCAAAGAAAAGTGAAGTTAATCGTTCTCTTTTATTAATATTTCTTACATTGATAAACTTAATATTCTCATCAGAATATGTGGGTGTTATAAAATAATTTGTTTTGATTAAAAACAGTATCGTCTGAATTATTCATGCAACGGCTAAGAATCCTAATCATTTAACAGGATCTCGCAACAGCAAACAATGCTAGATAATAGCTTCTTTATCGAACTATGTGTTGGAAATAGCTGTAAATGTGCATACATGGCCGTGGGAATGCAATGAAAAAATCAACGAGAGAATCTGTCGCATTTATTTAGGACCTAATCCATTGTTCTGCTTGATTTGGGAAATAAGCATATATCTAATACATAGTTATTAGACCTGAAAAAAGTGTAAGCGTTTTGTGTTATACATTACAAAACCCTTTTTTCTCTAGGTTCTAGAAGAATACAATATACAAAAAAAAATATTTGCTCCTTGGTAAAGTTCGAGTGGTAAGAAACGTTCTTAAACTGCTTTAATATGATAAATTAAACATTTATGTTTCAACTGGTGTTTACTGTCAAAACTACTTCAAACATTTTTTTCTTGTTAAGTAATATGTGAAGTATTACATAAAACAAGGCGCGACCGGTTGAACATATCAAGTTACTTGAGAAATTGACGTACCTCTTCACTTGAATGGCTATAAATATCAAAATACCCTTGCAATGTGCTTACATTCCACAAAAGAGCTAAAAGTCACCCTAATGAAAAAAAAAAACTTTAAAAAAGAAAGAATATTGAATCTTTTCCCTTGTTGAAACCCGATACACAGACTTTATAGATGTTACCTGAGGGATATTACGAAACACAAATATACTGATCCTTCTTTTATGATTTCTACGTTTCCCCACACACAGGCATCGTCGATTGCTTTGTTCGCATCCCCAAGGAACAGGGCTTCGGAGCTTTCTGGAGAGGTAACCTTGCCAACGTGATCCGGTACTTCCCGACCCAGGCGCTGAACTTCGCCTTCAAGGATGTCTACAAACAGGTGTTCTTGGGTGGCGTTGATAAGAACACACAGTTCTGGCGTTACTTCCTGGGTAACCTGGGATCGGGTGGTGCCGCTGGTGCCACTTCGCTGTGCTTCGTCTACCCACTCGACTTCGCCCGTACCCGTCTGGGCGCTGATGTCGGCCGTGGTGGACAGCGTGAGTACAACGGTCTGATCGACTGCCTGAAGAAGACCGTCAAGTCCGATGGTATCATCGGTCTGTACCGTGGCTTCAACGTATCCGTTCAGGGTATCATTATCTATCGTGCTGCCTACTTTGGTTGCTTCGATACTGCCAAGGGAATGCTGCCAGACCCGAAGAACACCTCGATCTTCGTCTCGTGGGGTATTGCTCAGGTAAGTTTTTTTTTTTTAATTTCCTTCATCGAAACCGCAAACAGATATGACCAGGACTGAATGGATTGCATAACTCCAAACGTGCTCCAACAAAGTTTCACTCCTCCCTATCACATTTACCGATTCAGGTCCCCCAGACGCTTTTCGGTGACGTCATTTTTACACACGTGCATGGAAACCAAGGATGGGCTGCGAGCCCTTTTTGCTGCATTTCAAGCAAATACAAACTCCAACTGCATTCTGAATACAGGCGTACCAACCCACCAACCACTGATAACGTCAATCAATCCTCTGCCTAACTGTGAGGTGCTGATTGTTGTAGTAAACAGAAGTTGTAGTGTAGATCATGTGGTATCGTACGTACATGTTCCTATCTTATCAGGGTCAACGCGTACTCACACAAAACGGCAGTATTGGTCGTGGCAACAATGTTAGTGATCGTCCCTGAAGAAGGCAAATCTGTTACGTAAAATATGTGACAGAGGAACAAGTGCGTCTTACTTGAAAAAATCATACCAAAAAGTGTATATTTTCGGCACTACCGGATGATGCACAGTGGTAGTGATTGACATCAGCCGTGAAAATGACCAATTGTTTTCCAAAAAAAAACAGACCTTATGAACATTTCACTGTTATGTAACGGTTTTTCCTCTCGATGGAAGAAGGTGTCTAAAATTAGTATTTTCTTTTTTGTTTTGAATGACGCTCGATTTTCACACCGACTGACGCGCATACTTAGGAGATTTTCGAGGTGGACCTTAAACGAAATACGCAACGCGGTTTCGAGTGGCTGCCAGTGGCGTATTCATATTTGCCATAAAATGATTCAAGGTCATTTCAATCAACTCTCGTTGGACGCTCTCTATCTTAGTAATTGTTTCTGCTACGATTGTGTATGCTTCTGGTTGTAGCTACGCCGAACGAGAAAGAAGTTCTACTTGCATAGTGGTAAATTTTCATCGTTCTTACATAACGACGAAGGAGCTCATCCTAACTGTGCCGACGACAGCTGATATAACCTAACAAAAAATCCCCGCTGTTCGAATGAACCATGATGGGTACAGAAGGCAGGAGTGCGTCGTAGGATGATGGGATGTTGCTGTGCTCAAGAGAGAAAGAGAGAGATACTATATACGAGAGAGGCAGAATGCGAGAACGTTTATAAAATCGATACTTTGTGCCATGCCGACCGATTCGATGCATTCAAATTCCTGACCTTTGTCTCCGGGTGGGGTGTTGAGAATGTTGAACCGTAGATTGGCGAGATTCCTTGCGATCGACCGAGTTCAAATGTCAGCTCATACAAGATAGAGGCTTGGCGCAGTCAGCCGTTCATTCTACACTACACGATAGCAAAAACATGGTGGCGAACGATTTCGAAAGGATTTTGAAACGCTATTTTTAAAACGGTTCATGCTTTGGTACTCGTATGCCAAGAAATCTGGGCTAAGTTGCGATTATTTTTTTTCAGGGCACATCGGTTGACAAGAACAGATGGCATTTTCTTTCTATAATAGCGAGGAAAAATTTGTCGTCACCTGAGGGGGAAAAATCGATTTCATAGTCGCCTGTCCACCGAGGCACGTGCCTTTGAGTTCGCTAAGTGACGTAACCAATTTAAAGGTGCATCATTCTTAAGATAGCTCCTTGTGACGTCACAGGAAGTTTTCCGTTATTTTCACAAATTCGTGACGTAATGGATGTTTTTTGTGCGATTGTTTTGTTTCGTAACCAAGCAGTTGCTTGCCACGTAAACCGTGGCTGTTATCACCTGTATCACCACTGGTTATCGAGCGCGACGTGATAAGTGATAGGAGGACCTTCAAAAGGATTAAACTTCTGCTAGCGTCGTAGTGAGCACGAACAGTCTGACTACATGTGACAGTGATAAGATTGAAAACCGTCTCCGTCACATTTTTCGTCGATGGCTGTTAGGTAATAAGCAGAGACAGGCCTTGAAAATCGCTGAACAACCTAGAACTTGACACGCTAATTGACGATGGACTGCTTTATATACGCACCAAGGGTATGACCGTCATGATAAATGAAATGGCAGATAACTAAATTTTCCATTTCGGCGTAAATTACTTATAAATATACCAGAGAACTTTCGTTCTAAACTGATCATAAACACGTCCCATTTTCAATGAGATATCGTAGTAGCTAGCGTCTTTACATTGTTTATTAAGACTCGACTCGACATTCTCAAACAAAACAAAAACCACGTTACGAGTTACGTGATAACATGCGTAGTTTTTGCTCTATAGCTACTGTGATTTACAAGTGGCTGTATGTACATAGTCCCTTTTGAATCATGCTTATCACATTTCCACGTAGGTACACTGAAACAAAATCTATTGGAAAAAATACTATATTGCAGGTTTAAATTAAATACCTTCACCAATAGATTTTTGCAGAAAACAATTTCATTTAATTGTACTAGGTATTATTTCTATCATAATTACTATGCATTTTGAGCAAGCATAGTAGTTATACCAGAATCATAGTAAATTCGTTAACATTCATAGTCAACTATACTGAATTAATAGTAGATTTAACGGTAATAAGCGTGGTTATTTTGAAAATAAGTTTCTGCAAAACAGTATTCTTAACTATGGTCCTTGTTTCAGTGTACAAGCTTCTTGATTTCTCGAGTACTTTTTCAAAAGGTCGTAAGTAACAAATCGATTTAATCGATGCAAACTATTGCTCTTCTGTCATAACTATATTCTACGAAAAACACCTTAAATTTACTTTCATTTAGGTTTTAGTTGCAATATATTTTCGGTAAAGGGTTGTAAGGCATATAATTCATGGATCATTATCCAACTTTTGTGCCTACTAGCTAAAATGCTAAAACATTAATTTCCTTTGATAGAATCAAGGATTAATTTTATTCTCTTTATCAATCGTAAAAATGGGAAGCTAGACCAACAATTGAAATAGGTGGAACAAACGTAAACAATAGCTTAAAACACAAAATTCTCGAGAATCAAAACACTCCCACGCAAACTAACAATGCCATTCGATAAAGGAGGTTTACTCTATCAGATGATGGTGTTAGATTGCTTGGATGTGCTTTGATTCTCGATGAATTTGCGTTTAAAGCCATTGTTTACGTTTGGTTGTTCCGCCAATTTCAATTGTTGATAAACGAAACATATTATCTCAACCTAGACACTCTGTAGGACATGGAACAGGGTCGATAGGATTAGCAAATCATCCAGCTCAACCTCTTTATTTTCCAACCTTTCAACTATCATCTCTGTTACTTTGACTATCCCCTATATTCAACAATTTTCCTTACTATCGGCCTTTTAAAAGCAGGATTCATTTGACCTCTGTAGTTATTAGTCTGTATCTCTACCCTGGTGCTTTATGGACAGTGATTTTCCACTGGAGACTGGAGAAAACTAAAACGAATTGAGCCAGAAAAATCCTATTTCATGCTCATATTATTTTTTCGTCGTTGCGAATGGATTAGCATCATCACGTCAACTCTAGACAAACATTTCAAAAGGTCCTATCTGTCATTGAAGCTGATTGGAGAAAAATTGATTTGAACTTTTGCAATATATTTTTAAATGCCTTTTTTAATTACGACATAAAACGATAATCTTTTGTATTCTCAAATGCATAGGAAATACATAGAATTCGACTGAAGTGTATGTTTCTTCGTTTTATTCATAATTTTCAGGTTTAATTCGTGGTTTTGTTACATAGGACCCTTGGCTTTTTTCTGTATCAGTTAGGACCTGTCAAATTGGTCTGATTGCAAAGTTAATGTTACTTAGGACCTTGGTAAGAATTCGGTTTAGAGGTCAGATAATTACAACTACATCATTATTTGTAATTGTTGATGGGCTTAAAACTACTATTCTGCCAATTTATTAAGTAAACTACGTTTATAATAAGAACTTGTCCATTATTTTTTCTGATGTATGCAGGAAAAATGTAAGTGTATGGAAAATTTGCATATTTTTTAATATTCGGTATATTTTTATAAACAAACTCCGTTTTTTTCATTCTACATCATTCGTTTTATATTTATTAGCTCAAGCTGTTCATCAATAATTTACATTCATTCATGTTATTCGATCAAATCTACATCGCTGTCCTCCAGTGGATTGAGATCCACATCAAAGTGGTCTACAACCGTATTATTGTTCTTCTTCCTGTTTTTTCTGTTGCAATGTTGCAAAATAATCTTTTTGCTTGACATATGGCATCAGTTTGCGTAAATCGTCCAATTTAGCACTTGGCAATTCAAGTGGTTGATCCGCAATTGGATCGAAATCCTCGTCCAAATTCACGCTTGTAATATCGCATGTCGGATTTGACAGAATTTTGAATAAGCTTTTGCCTTGGTGTACTCCTGGAATCGCAATTAATTCGTCAACTCCATACCAGAAGCAGAGCGATTGATTACAGGCATCGTAAATGAAATTTTCTCATATCCCACTTCCCAGATGTTGGATCCATAGGAATTTCTAAAACTTCATGTTCATATTAGTATAGCATTTCCAACTAACTATTATGAGTTTTAGTTTTTCTATTCCACGTGAAACACGAGATGAAACAAAGGTCCTAATAGCATTTGTATTTTTTTTTTGGTTGAATGACAGATTGGACTGTAAACATGTTTAAGGTCCAATCAGAGAGCTGTGCGATATTATAAAAACTTTCAAATTGGACGTTTTTTTCACATATTTTTATAATTTTCCGAATATTGATAATTAAAATTTCTAGAACAATACTTAGAGATGGTGAGCTCTGCAGTACAGAGAAGCATTAAACTCGATTTGTTTACAAATGTCAGATAGGACCTTTTGAAATGTTTATTTAGAACTGTTCACCGGTCAGTTTCAGCGTATGTTGTTTACCTTTGCCGTTATCAACCAGTCGCATGATGTTTGTTGAATATCATCTTCGCCAATGCATAACCAGCTTATCTCCCGTACCTATTAGTAGTCACATAAACTCGCACAAATGTACGCAACAACTATCTAACAGAGCCCTGTTATCGTAACGTAACACGGTGACGGAATTTCCAAATCCTTGGTCATTTTCTAATTGTTGGTTGATCTTCAATTCTCAATAAATAATCCTGTGGCACTTGACTAAAATTCCATGTTCCCCTATTCTATTCCAGGTTGTAACGACGGCCTCCGGCATCATCTCCTATCCATTCGACACCGTCAGAAGACGCATGATGATGCAGTCTGGCCGTGCCAAGGCCGACATCATGTACAAGAACACCCTCGACTGCTGGGTCAAGATCGGCAAGCAGGAAGGTTCCTCGGCCTTCTTCAAGGGCGCCTTCTCCAACGTCCTGCGTGGTACTGGTGGTGCTCTGGTGCTCGTGTTCTACGATGAGCTGAAGGCTCTGATGGGTTAGATATAAGTTTAGCGAAAACATTAAAAAAGTTACAAAAAACCAGTAAACTAAACCAGCTAAGGTGGTAAAAATCAGCAGTCAAGCAGTAATTTATTTATTTAAAGTTAGAAAGAAATTCAAATGCAAGCAAGCAAGCAAATCATGCGTTACTAGGAATGACAAAATTAATCACACACTGAAATGATATTCTTACCAGTCAGGACAACAATGATGATACTGTAATTAAAAAAAAAAACACGAGAATAAAAGTGTTTCCTACGAATATAACGAAACATTAGCAGAGTTCGGAAATAAGCAGCAGGTACACATTCCGTATTTTCCAAACTTGCAACTGCGGATTAATGTGTGACGGGACCGGGGCCGGAAGATTACAGTTGTACGGTATCATTTCAGGCCGAATCCAACCAGAGCCAGAAAGACAAGCAAGGAATTAAAAGAACGAGCAAAAACTCTTATGAAGAGTTCCACGACCAGTCTCGGTTTGCATGATATCTATAAAGCAGGACTTAAACCTTTATACCTAGGCACAGGCCATCACAGCTCCAAACAAAGTTTCGTATGACGAGAAAAAGAGATAATGCTTTTATTGATTGGCTAAACTGAACAGATGATCGAATCGCGAATAATAATAGTTACAACCTGAGTAAAACACAAAATTGGCGGTGCTGTTGTTATTCTGTTTCTCACGCCTCGGCGGGCTGTGATGCTGCAGCAGCTGAAAGAAAATCCTCTTTGATGTGATTCTTTCTTTTTCGTATGAGTCTCTTTTTTTCACTGGACATATGCGGTAAATGCCGTCAAAATGTTATGGGGAAAAATGTCGTCAAAATGTTATGGGGAAACTAATGAAGCCTATTCTGCGCCGCGAGTGATGTGAGGTGACTTGCTGTCACAAAAGTCACCGCGAGTGAGCTGACTCTTCGTATGGAGATTCACCTACCTCACCTCACTCGCAACACGGAATAGACTTCTCTGACGTTTGTGAATTGCACAAGTATTAGTGTAGAACTTTGGGTAAATTCAAAGGTTTTCTTGCACTAATACTTATAATTTACCCCAAGTTCTACACCGAAAAAAGTTTTCATGTAGCTTCCATTGAAAACGCACATGATTTTCATCCATAATCAAAATTAATGGAATTCATCTGAATTACACATAAAATTTATGCGATCACATTAATTGTATGTGATTTTTCATATGAATTTCATCGGCCTCATAAAATTCATGTGATTTTGTGGTGAGATTTGCTGCTATGTGATCACAGGAAACCCTAATAAAAAATTACCATAAACGAACGATAACCATAATTATCGAACTATTCTACAAATAGTTTGGATGATACCCCGAACACGTCGTTAAGAAAATTAACCATAACATTTTTATGTGGGAAGTTATGTGAAATTCACATGGATTTCATCCATAGATATGTGATAAATTTTTTGAGTGTACACTAATACTTGTGCATTTCACCAACGTCAGAGAAGTCTACACCGAAAATAGTTTTAATGTAGCTTCCATTGGAAACGCACATGATTTTCATCCATAATCAAAATTAATGGAAGTACTTAACCTATATAATTCATTTATGGAATTCAATATAGTTCCACCAGCATGGAGACAGGTTAAAGTAATAGCTATTCAAAAGCCTGGGAAACCAGCGTCTAATCACAATTCTTACCGTCCGATCTCTATGTTATCATGCCTGAGGAAATTATTAGAAAAAATGATCCTATTAAGACTTGACCATTGGGTTGAATCAAACAATCTACTTTCAAATACGCAATTTGGTTTCCGGAAGAGTAAAGGAACAAACGATTGTCTAGCGATGCTTTCATCTGATATTCAACTGGCCTTTGCGCACAAGGAGCAATTGGCTTCAGTCTTTTTGGATATTAAGGGCGCATTTGATTCGGTTTCCATAGACATACTGTCAGACAATTTGCACAGTAGTGGATTACCCGGTATTTTGAATAATTTTTTGTATAATTTGCTGTCAGAAAAACAAATGACCTTCAATCTAGGTCAACTGACAACTTCTAGAATTAGCTACATGGGCTTACCCCAAGGTTCATGTTTAAGTCCCTTACTTTATAATTTCTATGTCAAAGACATTGATAACTGCTTAGATAATCAATGCACGCTTAGACAGCTTGCAGATGATGCCGTGGTTTCCATGAGAGGTCCACGTGCAGAAATCTTGCAAAGACCATTGCAAAATCTGTCTCTGGGCAAGAAATTTAGGGATCGAGTTTTCACCGCAAAAAACTGAATTGGTAGTGTTTACAAGGAAGCGGTTTCCAGCCCAACTGCGTCTAAATATTTTGGGCAGAGACATGACCCAATCTTTAACCTTCAAATACCTTGGAGTCTGGTTTGATTCAAAATGCACTTGGGGTACCCACATTACGTATTTGAAACAAAAGTGTCAACAAAGGATCAACTTTCTACGATCAATTTCCGGGACATGGTGGGGTGCTCACTCGGAAGACCTCATTAAACTATATAAAACGACTATTCTTTCAGTTCTTGAGTATGGCTCTTTTTGCTTCCTCTCGACAAGAAAAAGTCACCTAATCAAATTGGAACGTATTCAATATCGTTGTTTACGTATTGCCCTTGGCTGTATTCATTCAACACACAATATGAGCCTAGAGGTCCTACACGGAACCGAATTTTTTTCATTTAAATCAAAAATATAAATGTTTATTCTATAAACATATGAATAATTCAAAATAAATTAAAACCATGTTTGCAACAAAAATATATATAATTGAATTAAAGTCATAAGCATGTTTATTTCAACAATATAGAATTTGGGTAAACGATTTTTAGCGTGCCCTGCATTTTTTTTTTTCCTTCTTGTTTATATTCGGATAAAAAATTGCCCCAGCTTTGCCGATCAACTGAAAACGGCCCGCAACAAAACCGAAGTCATGGATCCGGAAAACCACCTAGGTAAGTGTCTTAACAAAGTTCCAGCTCGATAAAACTGGAGGAACCTCACAGTATCGACGTCACTCTGTCGTTTCTGATGCCGATCCCTGTATCATCCTCCTCCACAACTGACGTCGGAAGAAAAACGAAAATCCTAAATTGATTTTGAATCTATCCCGGATCCTCCAACATCGAACGTAGAAATAGGCCGGTATGTGGACCAGCGTTAGAAACGACAAAACGACGCTAATATCACAAAGTTTCACTGGTTTTACTGAACTGGAACTTCCGGACACTCACCCCGACGGGTCTTCGTATCCCGGACCAGGGCCCCAAAAGCTACAGCCCACCCTTAATCGCACCCGAAAAAGAGCAGGAGTTAAGATGCCTTGTCTGCAGATCGTTTTTTTTTCACCTCTTTGCAATCCATTTTTTGCTTTATCCTACATTCAAATGCTAATATAATTTAAAATTAAGTATGTTTCTTTCAAACATAAGAAGCATGTTTAAAATAAACATATTTATTTTTGTTTGCATATTGACAACCAAACAAAAATATTCACGTTTATTTTCAACACGAATATTTTTAAAATAAACGAAACATTATTTTTATTTTAAACATTAATATCACATGACTTCAAACATGGAATACGTTTGAAATAAACCTTGTTTATTTTTGTGGCCAGAACAAACTGAGTTTACGTTTAAATTTACCTCAAATATTTTTGTTTCAACGATAAATTTTTCTGCGTGTAGCGGGTGTAACACCCCTGCAGAACCGTTTCTGGGAGCTCTCATTAAGAATATTGATTAAATGTAGTGTCAGTAACAACCTTGTGATTGAAAACTTCGAAGAAATGCTCGAATTGAGCATCCAGTCTAGATTCGTGCGAATCTATCTTAATTATATCACAGAGAACAGACATGGAGGCTCGAACAAAATTTCTCTAAAAACTTGTGTAAAGATTCCTATTCGACTTAAGCGCCACTAACGGCGACTTCCCCACTTAAAAACCCTCTTTGACAACATGATGGCGCTGGCGTTGCACAAACTACACTAGACACTAAGTGCTAGTACCGCCGAGTGGCAATTTTCAACAGAAAATTTATCGATACTAGCGCCAAATTGGTCGAAAGTGGAAAATTTATAGCGAAAATCAGGAGATGCTAACACCACGTAACGGCGACGTTCCCACTTATTTTACACAAGTTTCTGACCAAACTTGAACGTCTGTTCTCTGTGATTATATGTCATCGGATATTAGCCTTCCTTGCTATAACCCCTCTCGTGTATGCTTTACTATCTACAGTTCCCCCATTGACTACGATCTCTCCATGAAACAGGCTATTCAAGGAGTTCCAGATCAACTTCGACCTATCTCAATTCCCCACATTTTTGCTGAAAAGTACCAACAAGTCAATTGCAATAGAAGATTTTTCACTGATGGATCACGCATTGATGGATCCACTGGCTTCGGCGTCTTCAATGAATACTCAACCGCCTTTCGGAAACTTCAGGAACCTTGTTCCGTTTATGTTGCTGAGCTAGCAGCAATCAACTTCGCATTGGGGATGATTTCCGATATGCCCATAGACCATTACTTCATCTTCTCGGATAGTCTCAGCACAGAGAACAGACATGGAGGCTCGAACAAAATTTCTCTAAAAACTTGTGTAAAGATTCCTATTCGACTTAAGCACCACTAACGGCGACTTCCCCACTTAAAAAACCTCTTTGACAGCATGATGGCGCTGGCGTTGCACAAATTACACTAGACACTAAGTGCTAGTAGCGCCAAGTGGCAATTTTCAACAGAAAATTTATCGATACTAGCGCCAAATTGGTCGAAAGTGGAAAATTTATAGAGAAAAATCAGGAGATGCTAACACCACGTAACGGCGACGATCCCACTTATTTTACACAAGTTTCTGACCGAACTTGAACCACAGAGAACAGACGTTCAAGCTCGGTCAGAAACTTGTGTAAAATAAGTGGGAACGTCGCCGTTACGTGGTGTTAGCATCTCCTGATTTTCTCTATAAATTTTCCACTTTCGACCAATTTGGCGCTAGTATCGATAAATTTTCTATTGAAAATTGCCACTTGGCGCTACTTGCACTTAGTGTCTAGTGTAATTTGTGCAACGCCAGTGCCATCATGTTGTCAAAGAGGGTTTTTAAGTGGGGAAGTCGCCGTTAGTGGCGCTTAAGTCAAATAGGAATCTTTACACAAGTTTTTAGAGAAATTTTGTTTGAGCCTCCATGTCTGTTCTCTGTGCTTGAACGTCTGTTCTCTGTGGGCATACCATAATAAAAAATTACCATAAACGAACGATAACCATAATTATCGAACTATTCTACAAATAGTTTGGATGATACCCCGAACACGTCGTTAAGAAAATTAACCATAACATTTTTATGTGGGTAGAGAACAGAAATGGAGGCTCGAACAAAATTTCTCTGAAAACTTGTGTAAAGATTCCTATTCGACTTAAGCGCCACTAACGGCGACTTCCCCACTTAAAAACCCTCTTTGACAACATGATGGCGCTGGCGTTGCACAAATTACACTAGACACTAAGTGCTAGTAGCGCCAAGTGGCAATTTTCAACAGAAAATTTATCGATACTAGCGCCAAATTGGTCGAAAGTGGAAAATTTATAGAGAAAATCAGGAGATGCTAACACCACGTAACGGCGACGTTCCCACTTATTTTAAACAAGTTTCTGACCGAACTTGAACGTCTGTTCTCTGTGCTACCGGTACGGACTACGGCGAGTAAATTGATAACCGCGATAGCAGCGACCGGTGTGGAGAAGAGTGACTAAACTAAAATGAGAGCGCTTTCGGAAAGGTGATAGTTGCCCCTATCCGATTATGTTGTTGGTTTGCGTGGGCGTACTTTGGTTCGCGTGTAAAGGGCCTTGGAAAGTTTGTTTACAAATGCTTTTGTGCCGTTATCAAATGTTATGCCTGAAATAGTCGCGCAAATGACAACGACCGTTACAGTTGCTCTTATAACGCTTGGTGTGGGATGACGGAGAAGCACCAAAATCACACTCCTTTCGCTATCCCAAGTGATAACAAAAACAAAAGCCGACTGTAAATAACACGTCAACTGCTGCGGTTGAGAGCGAGCATATGAAAATTTGTGTTTTTTTCTGGATAAAAGTGAATAATTTTGCTAGTGAAAGGTTGTAATTTGTGCTGTGTGAAAAGCTTAGTAATTTGTACACGTTGACCCAGTTTCATAAACTCGTCAAGACTAAACATGTCCCTAGAAAACCACCTAGCCGATCAACCAGACTGTAGTTCGTCGGATCCCAATCGCCGTATTGCATTAATCACCGGCATAACCGGGCAGGTAAAACAGTAGGCAAATTCGTTTTTTATTCGCCATCTAAAACGGATATTAATTCTAGGATGGATCCTATTTGGCCGAGTTTCTGCTGAAGAAAGATTACGAGGTGCATGGAATCATACGGCGAGCTAGTACCTTCAACACATCCCGAATCGAGCATCTATATGCGGATCCGCACAGCCACAAGCAGGGTAAAATGAAGTTACACTACGGGGACATGACCGACAGCAGCTGCCTGGTGAAGATCATAGCCCGTGTTCGCCCGAGTGAAATATATAATCTGGCGGCTCAAAGTCACGTCAAGGTTTCGTTCGATCTCAGTGAGTACACGGCGGAAGTGGATGCGGTGGGAACGCTGCGGCTTTTGGATGCAATCAGAACTTGTGGACTGGACAAAACAGTCCGATTCTATCAGGCGAGCACTTCGGAGCTGTACGGCAAAGTAGTGGAGACGCCGCAGAATGAAAAGACACCGTTCTACCCACGGTCGCCGTATGCTTGCGCCAAGATGTATGGATACTGGATTGTGATCAACTATCGGGAAGCCTACGATATGTTTGCATGTAATGGTATTTTGTTCAACCATGAGTCGCCCCGACGGGGGGAGAACTTTGTAACCAGGAAGATCACCCGATCGGTGGCGAAAATATTCCTGAATCAGCTGGAGTGCTTGGAGTTGGGTAATTTGGATTCGAAACGTGACTGGGGTCACGCCCAGGACTACGTGGAAGCCATGTGGATGATGTTACAGCAAGAGCAACCGCAGGATTACGTAATTGCCACTGGGGAATGTCACTCGGTGAGGGAGTTTGTAGAGCTGTCATTCAAGCACATCGACCGAGAAATAGAATGGCGAGGGACCGGTGTGAAAGAGGTTGGTGTGGAGAAAGGAACGGACATCGTTCGCATCAGAATAAACCCGAAATTTTTCCGCCCAACGGAAGTTGACTTGCTGCTGGGCGACGCCAGCAAGGCTAAACGAGAACTTGGCTGGGAGCCGAAGGTAACGTTCCTGCAGCTGGTAGCCGATATGGTGGCAGCCGATATTGAATTGATGGAGAGGAACCCGAATGCCTAGATCTCGGGTGGGCATCAAATTTGTATTATGTGTATACTGGATTGATGATCCGACTAGTGAAGTTTAAATTTACGACACACTATAATTATATCTTTATAATTAACATTCCTCGTGCAAACACTATCATATAAAATGAGTATGTAAACAACAAGTATGAGTAATATTTTGTAGGCATTGTGCATTTTAATATAACTAATTATCAAATTTTACTAAAACAAATGTTCAAGGCTTTCTTTCGAGTTGAAAATTGGCAGGCAAACGATTTTATTTTATCACATTAGGTTTAAAAAGTTTTATTACCACTGCATTATGCCACTATGCTTGTGCAGTAAATAGCTTAGACGAACAATGTAGAAAATAAACCATTTACGATAAACAAGACAAACAAGAGTTATCAATGACTATCAATTTGTTGCAGTTTGTAGCTGCGGGATGCGAGTTCTACTTAAGAGGACCGTCCGACTCCTGGTGGTAGCTCTTCACGCGCGAAAAGAACAGCGGCGGATATTTGTTGGGTGCCAGCTCGAAGGCAGTAGTCTTTTCCTGGTCATCACGCAGTTGTACCATCTGGAATACAATTGCATGGTAGAAGTTTGTAAGATTGTGATTTTTCTTCGGAAATTTAGTGATGGCTTTCCACTGTGCCTGATTTAGGCATATTTATATGCTTGTTATTCAATGTGGGGGTGAGTGGTAATTCCTGTCAGTAAAGTATATGGTCATGCAAATGAGAAGCTCATATGAATTTTAATTTTCAGTGTATTTCCTGTTGGGTATATCTATAACATTAAAATCATTGTCTTGACTTAGTCCAGTTCAAATCTTTCTCTCTTTGCCTTAATTACCAGCCGCATGCGTCTTTGAAAAGCAGCTGCCACGCACGATATCTTGAGGCATTTCGTCACTTATTTTCACTAAATGTTGCTTAAAAGTTTCCACTGTTAGTCCCTTGGTATTCCCTTAGTTTGCCTAGCATGTAGCCACATCCATAGAAGTCGAGAAGATTCAAATCGGCTGAAGAGGCAGGCCACTCTTTCGACGAAATAAAATCCGGATAAATGACCTCACACCAAGCCTGTGTAGCTTTTGTCTGGTGGGACGGTGCAGAGGCTTGTTGGAAGCAGTATGGTGCATTCTTGTAGTGTTTCTCAAAATCGAAATAATAGTTACTGATGATTTTAACATCAGATTCAATGAACAACAGCAATGGAACCTTCAAAGTTTTGGAGAAACATCTCGACACCATCATCCTGGAAACATTATGGAGCCAGTTTGTCCCAAGGAATCTCAGAAAGAAATGCTGCATATACCCGATTATTTTGCTGGATGTGGCTCGGGTTGTGGTGATTCTGTAGCAGGAACATTTTCTCGTCCGAAAACATAATTTCACAATCACCGTTTGTCGACAACATAGTAGAAGCGATTCGATGCGTTGGCAGTAAGCGAAGCGCTTCCGCGAAAGCTCCCTCTATGAACGTTCTATGGGAATCGCCCAAACCTTTTTTTTCTTTTGGTTTGTTTTCCGCGTTTTCCGTCGATCTTGTTTTCCGTGCTGTGCACCAATGCTACCGACGCCAGGGAGGCAGCTCCCACACCTGGACCCTACCTATCGATTGATTTCCCTTCCGAAGGAAGGCGTGATCAGAGATGTTATGCCTCAGAACATCCCGGCGGTGCCGACTGGGATTGAACCCAGGCCTACTGGGGTGAGAGGTAATCACGCTTACCACTACACCACCGGCAACGCTCTATCGCCCAAACCTGTCATAGTGAAAGCGATGCTATGAGGTGTGCAGCGTTCAGCAAAGCGACAAAGCTATTCGTGTTGTGTTTCGACGCCTGCGAACGCAAATGGACTGATTCGATTGAGGAAAAATGGACACCAATATCGATTCGGAAAATCTGATTGCTCAGATCGAATGTGTCCATATCCATTCTTGTGTAAGACCGAAACTTCTCTGGATATTTACGAAGATCTTCGTACAATCTGAAGAACTCTCCATCTCGCCTTCTATTTCGATTGATCGGGTGAACTGCAAACTCTCTTTCGTTGTTCATTTGTTCATTACGAAATTAATCGTGCTTGAGGAAGCGAAATATTTCTCATCGGATGAATCCATGCTGAATTGAAACAAATTTGAACAATTGCACTGCGCGCGCGACTGTAATGTTTTCAAAAACGCTTTCACTATGTCATAGGTTGCTTTGCTTGCCGCAACCAGGGTAGACGCGACACGCGACGCGAGGCGATGCGACTCACGCAAGGAATAATAATAAATAATAAGATTCTTTTGAATTGGTCGCGTCTACCCTGGCCGTACCCTTTGCAATTGCTATCGCATCGAATCGCTTTGAATCGCTTCTACCACAAACGAAGTTACAGACGACTAACTGGCGAAGAAATCTATTAAAATAATGTGGTTCACTGTAATAGAATTTTCTTGGAAGCTTGTGCCATCATCCACCAGATGGGTTAGTTTTTTTGTTTTGATTTGAACAAAGTTGATTTTGTGTACAATGATTCTTTGACAGTGTGCAAAGAGTGCGTATCATTTTGTCATTTTTTATGCATTTCGGTTTTGAGTAGAGTGAATGAGATAGAACCAAAACATTCTAGTACATTTGGTGAAAATGCTAGTTCAATCTAATAGTAGTGTTGCCATGTGGTACAATCCAGTAGTAGTGGTGTTGCCATGTGGTACACTGAAAAATTGCAATTGACGAGTGCACGGATGAATTTGAGTTCACTCACTCGACAAAAAGTGACACAACAGCGGGGCCCTGTTTACTAAAAATGAACATATATGTGTTCATTTTTAGTAAACAGGGCCCCGCTGTTGTGTCACTTTTTGTCGAGTGAGTGAACTCAAATCCATCCGTGCACTCGTCAATAGCAGGTTAGTCACCAAAGTTTTCGAGCCGCTCCGTCTGTCACTTCGTTTGTGACTTCTACTATGTTGTCGGCCTTAGGGTACGGCCAGGGTAGACGCGATTCGCGACGCGACGCGACCAATTCAAAAGAATCTTATTACATATATATTATTATTCCTTGCGTGAGTCGCTTCGCATCGCGTCACGTGTCGCGTCTACCCTGGCCGTTCCCTTACACTTGAGCAGCTTATCACTAAAGAGCCTAAATTTATAAAGAGGCGACATGTCAAAATTGGAACAATCGATTGTCTGTCAAAGTCATAGGAAAAGTCATTCCAATCGAGCAGAAGACCTGTCAAATGGATAAGATGTCGTCTCTTTATAAATTCAGGCTCTTTACTTATCACGAGTTTCCTTTTCGCGTCCATGATTACCACGAGTCTCATGTCTAGATAGAGCTGGAATTAATCACTTTGTCAAGCTTCTGCATTCATGTTCCATCAGATGTCACTGCTGTTGTTTGCGGTGACATCTATCGGAAACTACACACAATCGGTTTTCCTATAATTGTTCAGAGAGGACACTGCAGTGCAAAACATGTCTGGTACCTCTATATATGCATTTAGATTATTATTCGAAGTCCCTCTTTTTTTACACATTCTGCACACAAAATAGCTCACCCCGCACAGAATTTCCCGCCGATTTTTATGAATGGGGCGGGGCAGAAAGTATCTTTTGCGCCGAATATGTAAAAAAGGAGGGATTTCAAATGTTAAAGTAAATGCATATATAGAGGTACCAGACAGGTACTCTATTGTATAATCTGTGAAAGGGAACTCACAAATCGAGTGTCAACAAAATACATGGCATGTTGAGAGATTGAGGTCGTGAGAGCAAATTTTCTCTTTCAAATTTGAATTTTTTGGCTCTCTGGGAACTGGTAGTAAAGCAGGTAAAACTGTATGGGGAAAAATCATTTTTAATTAATTTTAGCTTGTTTAACAATAATTTCCGGGAAAAAACTGAACGACAAAGTCCCTGATTAATTTCTTTAGGTTGTCGTTCACTTTTTTCACCTGAATATGCAATGAAAGCGATTTATTCCCACTTCTCTCAATTTCTATATGGGGATTTTTATCACTTCCTACCAGCGGAACAGCGCCATCTCTGTGGAAAATGGTCGAACAAAATGATTAATTAGGGCGTAACAGCTTTTGTAAACAATGACTTCTTTCGATGATTTCTAGAAAGTTTAGACTCGCCAACGCGAATCAACAACACCATCGGGTAGAGGAAGACTTCCCCTACCCGATGGTTATGTAGGTTACGCCTTAATTCCAGCTCTATCTAGATGTCGTTTTCGTTTATGCGGTGTGGCTACACCGCCGTACACCGACAAAATTTAAGGTGTAGCTATCAGTTGTTTACAAACAAATGATGATGAGCTGTCAATGACTCGTGCTTATTGCTGCTTACACTACACCGGTGTAGTTTAGTAAAAACGAAAACGACATCAAACGAATGAAAATTCAAAACGAACTTGCAAGCTGGGGGGATGTGCTGTCAAATCAGCCTACTGATCATCTTGTATGAAACTGGTTCCAAACGTAAACAAACGCTGTAGGTTTCTTATGGCTTGTTTACGTTTGGAACCAGTTATGCGAGGTAGGCGACGATTGTTCGTATTTGACAGCCACCTCCCCCCCTTGCTTGCAAGCCGTGTTGACATTTGAATACACACTAAAAGAAAAATACGCAGACATGTATGTGATTAATTCATCCGAAACTACAAACGTTAAAAAAAAACACGGACAGGAATTACCACGCACCCTGGATATGTAAAACATGGTAACATGTGTGTATTTGATGAATTCTGTTAAACAAATAGGAGAAGAACGTTAAGTTAATCCGTGGCATCTTCCTCCAGTGTGACGCTAGCGATGATAGTAAAGGCAAGGTATTATCTAGCAGTAGACGGCGGGTTCGATTCCCAGTCCAGTCTAGAACCTCTTTCAGGTTGAAAATTTTCTCGACGTCCCGGGTATAGAATAGGCCTCAAACTACTATTGTGCTTTTGCCACACAATATACAAATTCATGCATTGAGGGAAAGCTCCCAATTATTAACTGTGGAAGTGTCTTAATGCAAGGAGTTAAATAGAGAGGCGGCTTTACGATACAAAAGGACTATAAGGACACCCACAACAAACCCACGGAACCAGGACCTTGCACAAGACACAAGACAAGACGATACTCTGAAATAGAACCACGGTACGACACTGGACAACGATTAAAGCACTATCAATATACCTACAACCTATAACTACTCTGTTACATTGTTACCCTGTTATACCCTCAATTATGGGGCATGAAGTAGTTCGTCTCCTCGTGGTGTGCCCTGGAAACGTTAATTATCGAACCCAAGGGAGAGATATTGCGGCTTAACGAACTATAGCAGAGTAAAGACGCTGGAGCCCCATCCAGCTCGTCCCAGGAGGTCGATAAGCCCTGCACAAACCCTCGTTGTGCAAAGGCAGGTGTGACACTGGGTTCTTAAGGCCCAAGCGCAATGTGGGCGGAAGCGGAACGGAAGCGGAAAGTTTGATAGTTGTCACAAATGACATCAAGATGCCTAACCGAAGTCGATTTGATTCTAACTAGTTTTCAATCCGACAAGTAGGCTCAGATCGGGCTTTTCCGCTGCCGCTGCCGTTCCGCTTCCGCTGTCATTGCGCTTGGGCCTTTAGAGTGTAGACGACTCTGACCAAGTCACAGCACACTCAGCTGGTAAGCGGTCACATTTGTCCTGTCCTGCCGTGGACAGTTGGCTGGCTATCACGTCTGCTCTAGAACTCAGGCGAACAATTAACAGCGAATAATAAGGGGCTGTTCATAAACTACGTAGACAGTTTTTTGGGATTCTTGACCCCCCCCCCCCTCCCACTGAGTAGACAATTGTCCATACAAATTTTTTTAAATTTGTATGGGCCGTAGATAATTGTCAACCACCCCCCCCCCCCCCCCCTAAACTGTCTACGTAGTTTATGGACAGCCCCTAAGAGGAAGGCCCTGCACAGTTGCTCACTGTGCATTAGCGAGTGTCACGTCTGTAACACACCACTAGTGTGATGCGCCATAGCGCAACCGGCCCCCTCCCATGATGTAATGCTTTCGGACGGTTCCGGGGAGGGCAAGGGCCAAGAGCACAGGGTAAGGTTTAGTGGGTCGGGAGCGCTACTTCTCCCATCCCCACACCCTGAGTTATCTTCTCAGGTGTCTGGGAGCAGATTCCCCCCTGTATAAAAAAAATACCCTCAATTATACCCAACACTATTTGAAGTCCCGGCTGATTAGCCAGCATGCGAAGTCAGAAGAGGACTATATTATCATCGCTAGCGTCACACTGGAGGAAGGTGCCACGGATTAACTTCATGTTCTTCCTCTAATTTTTAGAGCCGTCGCACAAAGCACTCAGGCCGTTCCGTTTCGTCAAGGCCTGCGAGCAGTTGCATCCGTTGCGAAGTCTCCTACACATGATACACCGATGCTGTGGCCAAAAATAGTTGCCCTTTACACTCCAAGTGGCTTGAGATTGTCAGATCTCGCAGCATTAGGTCAATCTCCACAATCGCCATCTCGCATGAACTCTTCGACCGACTAGGGTGTCGGCATGGTTACACTGGTCTCCTACAACGAAACACAATTAACCAGTGCGGAGTTCAAAAAACTTCTGCGCAACGAACGGCAGCGAGCACCTCACGAGAGCCCCGTTCCATCCACAATCGAACGGATAGACAGAGCGTTTCGTGGATACATTCATAAGGGTCGAAGAGAGGAACGACGCATGAAGCAAGCGATACAGGAGCACGCCAATTCGCTCTGTACCAGAAAACAAGACTCCGTCCGACGCTCTGTTCGGCCGTAAAATCCGAACCATCCTCCCTTACTTACCTTACCAATCAGGTTAAGGCCTTGTTGTCCTCTGCTGTCCGAAGAAGTCGTCTCCACTCTACTCGATCCATGGCCACAGTTCGCCAGCCTCGTAGTCTGCGAAGGGTCCGCAGGTCACCTTCTACTTGGTCGATCCACCTTGCCCGCTGCGCGCCTCTTCTTCTTGTTCCTGTTGGGTCGCTTTCTAGAACCATTTTCACTGGGTCGTCGTGCGGCATTCTTACGACGTGCCCAGCCCACCGTAGTCGCCCAATTTTTGCAATGTGCACGATGGATGGTTCTCCCAGCAGCTGGTGCAATTCGTGGTTCATTCGCCTCCTCCACGTTCCGTCATCCATCTGCACTCCACCGTAGATGGTACGCAACACCTTTCGTTCGAAAACACCAAGGGCGCGTTGGTCCTCCACGAGCATAGTCTAGGTCTCGTGGCCGTAAAGGACCACCGGTCTAATCAGCGTCTTGTAGACAGTCAACTTCGTGCGGCGGCGAACTTTATTCGACCGGAGCGTCCTCCGGAGTCCAAAGTAGGCACGATTTCCTGCCATAATGCGTCTTTGAATTTCTCTGCTGGTATCATTTTCGGCGGTCACCAGTGAGCCCAAATACACTCGGGGTGGGAGGCTAACATTTACCCATATTCTTGTTTTCGTTCGAACCGTATTTTCCATACAAAAAAAAAAGTTTTTTGTATGGAAAATACGGTTCGAACGAAAACAAGAATATGGATGATTGTCTTCCCTAGAACCTCTTGCTTTCGTGTATTTTGTCTTTGATGCGTTGATGGCAAGTCCAATCCGTCTAGCTTCAGCCTTCAGTCTGATGTACGTTTCCGCCATCATCTCAAAGTTCCGTGCCATAATGTCAATGTCATCGGCAAAACCAAGGAGCTGGATGGACTTCCTGAATATCGTGCCACTCGTGTCTATCCCAGCTCTTCTGATCACACCTTCTAACGCGATGTTGAACAGCAGACACGAAAGTCCATCACCCTGCCGTAACCCCCTTCGAGATTCAAAGGGACTCGAGAGTGTCCCCGATACTCGAACAACGCACATCACTCGATCCATCGTCGCCTTGACCAATCGCGTCAGTTTATCCGGAAATCCGTACTCGTGCATAATCTGCCATAGCTGATCTCGATCGATTGTGTCGTATGCGGATTTGAAATCGATGAACAAATGATGTGTGGGCACGTTGTATTCGCGGCATTTCTGCAGAACCTGCCGAATCGCGAAAATTTGGTCCGTGGTAGCGCGAGCACCCATGAATCCCGCCTGGTATTGCCCCACGAACTCTCTTGCATATGGTGACAGACGGCGGCATAGAATTTGGGAGATTACCTTGTAGGCGGCGCTCAGCAGTGTGATCGCGCGGTAGTTGCAGCAATCCAACTTGTCGCCCTTTTTGTAGATTGGGCATACGACACCTTCCATCCACTCCTCCGGTAATATCTCCTCCTCCCAAATCTTGGCAATTACCCAGTGCAGCGCTCTAGCCAGTGCTTCACCAGCGTATTTTAATAGCTCACTTGGTAGTTGATCTACACCAGTTGCTTTGTTGTTCTTCAGCCGACCGATCTCCTCCTCAACTTCTTGAAGATCAGGGGCCGGTAGCCTGTCGTCTTCTGCGCGTGCTCCAAGGTCTGTTGCCGTGCCACCTTCGTTTTCTGCTGCTTCACCGTTGAGGTGCTCGTCATAGTACTGCTTCCACCTCATCCTCCCGCTCTCATGGTATTTACAGAAGTGACGATCGTTCAACCGTGACGATGCTGTCTACGCCAAGAAGACCTGGAAATCGATACCTGGCATAATTCTCGAGATAATCGGCAACGTAATGTATAACGTGTGGACCGATACTCGGTTGCTGTGCTCGGACGTCAACCAGTTACGTACTTGAACCGCACTAGCTCGAATGCCAAGTTATCAACCGGAAAATACCCTAAGCTCACACAGCTCATTTCCGTTGAACGTCCTTATGTCTGCGCCGGAAGAGCCAGTTCAATTGCCATCTTCGCAACCCTCTAAGCTTAGCATCAACTGCCAAGGCTATGACGCTTCAATCATTGCCGCCGTCATCGAGATGTGATCCAACACCAACAACGATTACGTCGATTTTTTTTCCTTTGGTTTGTTTTCGGTCAATCTTGTTTTCCGTGCTGAGCACCAATGCTACCGACGCTGTGGAGGCAGCTCCCACCCCTGGACCCTACCTATCGACCCATCAACTCATGAACCGGGGACCAACGGTTTTACTTCCCTTCGGAAGGAAAGCGTGATCAGAGATGTTATGCCTCAGAACATCCCGGCGGCGCCGATTGGGATTGCCTGCTGGAGTGAGAGGTAATCACGCTTACCCCTACACCACCGACGCCGCTGATTACGTCGATTTCCTCAATGTCCTTTACGACAGCAGCTAGATCAACATTAACTGAGTTCGAGTCAGCAGCTGAAACCGAAGCGCTTTTCCCATCTTCGAAGGCAGTTTTTCTAGTTTGAGCCCAGCCAGCACTAAAGTGCACCTCATCTTACGTAAAGAAAAGGGATAGACGAAAGCTACTTATATTTTCACATAATTTTATCACCGAAAACCGACATGAATGATCATACAAATAACAAAGAAATGTCTGATCAAGGCACACAACTGACATCTGTCGCCGTGTTCGCGGAAAATATGTATTCTAGCCACAAACACGCGTACAAAATTTATGAGTTGGTTCGTGTCTAATCTATTTCAGACAAATTATTTGTATATCTAGATAAAACATTTCTATGGTTTTGACAGATGGAATAGCTGCACATTTGAATCGGCCGTTACGGATTCTCGATCAAGAGTTAAGTTTATGTTTTATGTCGGTTTGTCGGTGATTTTATCGCACACAAAACAAAATGCATCAGGGTTACATAAAAATATAGGTAGCTTTCGTCCATCCCTTTCTTGACGTAAGAACTACGTGAATCTATGGTGACGACCATAAAAAAAAATCAAAACCCGTTATTTTTCGAAACGCAGACCTAGAATTTTGTCTGTGAATTCTAGACAAACAAACAGACCATTTCGATCAATGAGTAAGACTCATCCAGGTAGACAGGCAGACCAACTGCAGCATCTGAGAAGAAGAAGTTTGCTCTATCAGATGGTGTAGTTAATTTGCGGGGGTGTGTTATAATTTATCCTGTCTAGTCTTGGCCTTGGTCGTTACAGACAGTCCAATATTGCCCGAAGTTAGCGTCCGATGGGCGCATCAAAGATCAGCGCAAAATCGGCACTTACCGAGTATTGCTTCCAGTGCAGCTGCGAGAAGGCCCGTTTGGCGGTGCTCACAATGTTCAGCTCAAGGTAGAACGTCTGCTGACTACATTCCACTTCGATTTCCTGCTTGCGTCCCGGACGCTGGCTTTGCACGTTGGACCGTTTGCGCTGCACTGCTATGATCACTTCATCGTTATGCAGCCTGTTGAAGCGAAAAAAAAAACAGTGAATGATTAACTGTCTCCAGCTAACTACACAAGGGCTTACCTGTAGTGACCATGTAGGATCTCGTTTTGCATCGCAAAGCGATTCTTAAGCTTGCCAACGCACATCTGCGGCTCGTCGGCACTGGTCAGCATCAAAACCTTCCCATCGGCAAAGAATCGAAAGTATCGGTAGTACTCGACCAGCTGCATCGGTCGGTAGAATTGATCCTGGAAACTGTTCTCTCCATATCGTAGATAGCTGGTGCGGCTAATGTAGCACCCGTGGAAGTGCACACGAGGTCGATTGATGTACATTTCGCGCCACGTTGTGAATGGCGATCCCTTAAGGTGGCCAACGTTGACACCCCATATCCTGTGGAAGAGAGTTTTCATTGAAATCGTTTCAGTTTGCGGTGAATGTAGCTTGCTTACGAAAAACACTTACCTCACGCAAGCGCGTTTCCAAATTTCGGCATCCCTGGCCAGTAGGTAGAATCCACGACAAACCCTTGCGAATCGTTCCATCGACTTGAGGTCCAACTCGCTCGAAACGACCCACTTCAGGATGTACAAAATCACCTCCATCGGCAGATCCGAGAAGTGAGCCGACGTCACAATCAGCATCCTGTCAGCAGCCGAAGCACTTTCGAACAACCTGCCCGATTTGGCCAGCATAGTTTGGAAGCGTAACACCAGGTCAACGTTTTCCAAATTCTCGTTATCTTCCAAACTGGCCTTGATCAAACTTTCGGATAGATTTTCCATTGACTGCTCCTTGCTCCCGCTGGGACCCTGCTGCTTTGTGATGTCGTAGATTTTGAATTCGATATCAGGTACCAATTGCACTGCCTTCCGGTAGAGCCGCATCGCTTCGAAGACCTTCCCTGTGTGTTCCAGATCAGAACCTTGCAAAAATAAAGCTCGCGCCTGTTGCTCGATCGAAAAATTCTCCTTATCGGTTGCAACAGCTGCGTGGTTAGGACGAGCTTTCTCTTTCGAACCAGAGCTACTTCCACTGGGGACATCCTGCTTCAGTTCTTGCTGCCATTTTACGCGGAACTCGTTCAAAGCCGATGTGATATTTTCGGAGCTTTTCCTCCTTTCCGGCACAATCAAAGAGGACGAACTCTCGTCGTCGTCCTCCTTGCCAGCGTCTCCGGTGGACTCCATTTCCCTTCGGTTAGTTTGCGATGGATGACCTTGAAAATTCGCAGTCGTTCAGTAGTGGTGGGATATCAATAGTCGCTGCCTAGTTCACGGTCGGAGTAGCGGATAACAATCGGCGAATGGTAGCAATTCTCGCGGGAGCCTCCAATTTTAACCACTTGTTTCCACTGCAACAGCGATATGGCCATAGTATTTCGGACGAACAGGGTTTGTGGATGCTGAATTTTCCAATCACTGGGCTGGCGAAAATTACGCGTTGCACATCGTTGAGGCGACTTGAGAAAAACAGACACACACGAAAATACAGTGCGCAACATGAGAAAAGGTCCTATAATTGTTGATCGATTCTCTTCATCGATTTTCTCTTTTGCGAGTAACCCAACTGCAATTGCATTTTCCATTGAGTATGTTGTTTCAGGCGCAAGCTAACATGCGAGCATAGCGAAAAATTCGTTTATGTTGTCGTGGTAAACCGAAGAGAAAGTCAATGAAGAGAAACGATCAACGATGATAGGCCTTTTTCAAATGTTACGCGAGAGTTTTGTGGTTGTTGATGTTGATTTTGCACTTGATGTGAAAAGCTAACGCCTCTTGAGCTAACGGTAAATAAACGTCATTGTCAGCTGATGGCTGAAGTGTAATCGCGGCTAAACGTTGTTCTCTGGGAACACTATGAAGACACTGTGGTGCTTTAAATTAAAAATGGATATAATTTATAAAATTTAATCCAGCCTCAAAAACAATGACCGGACAACAATTGGGATCTTTAAGGTGTAGGGATACGACATAAGGGTATTGAGTTAAATACATATTCGTAATCTGCATTAAAAATGGAACCCAAACTGAAAATTTTATCATTTTGGGTACACTGGAACTATTTTAAATAAGTACGATTACATTTGCAAAAATCACCTTATTAGCGCTCCTCGGTGTCACTTTGTACGGGAGCGAGATGTCAGTTTGTTAGCTTAGTGTCAAACAGTGAAGTTATTATTTTGCTTTAAATCTTAATTGAAAAATCGAGATGAAAGTGTGTGGGTTCGAAAAAAATATCGCTGTGCTCAGAAAACGAAGCTCTTTCGGATGATGTATAAAAAACAATACATTTTTCAAAATTAAAGAACCCAATTTTAAACGTATTAGGGTTATTGCGTAATTCTAATCAAAACGGACAAATAAGCACGTTTTCACTAGAAATCCTCAGAGGGAGAGATGGGCGGAGACAACAAAATACAATTCGGGTTTGTAAGTCAATTATCTTGCAATCCTTGCTAGAAGCCCCCTCTTAATTCTAGATGATCAATAAATCTCACACTATCAATCTACGAAAAATCTTCTATAATTTCTCGCATCTCCAGGAAATCTTCAGAATCGTCATTAATCTACTTTATATCCGCTCAGCGTGCGCGCAGCTAACCATAGCAAAACAAAATCTTTTCTGCATTGTTGATAGATAGAGTCAACCCCCTCGGCTAGAAGCTAGCAATTCACTGACTTTTCTTTTTCGATTCGATGTATGTGCAAATAATAATTGAGTGCACCGCAATATTTTGCACAATTCTAGGTGCCATTGCACACAAAAATCAATTAATCGATATGTCGTTGAGAGAACGTTTTGAGCCAAATGAACTGTAGAAATCTGAGCTAATCGAACATTCCCATTAAGAATCAAATATTATTCTTACTGGATCAAATTTAAGAGTAACTGAATCGAATAGAAATTTTACCACATTTATTTTTGTTGTGCTACCTACATAAATTCCTTTGGTTTGTTTTTTCCGTCGATCTTGTTTTCCGTGCTGAGCACCAATGCTACCGACGTGCCAGGAAGGCAGCTCCCACACCTGGACCCTACCTATCGAGCCATCAACTCATGAACCGGGGACCAACGGCTTTACTTCCCATCCGAAGGAAGGCGTGATCAGAGATGTTATGCCTCAGAACATCCCGGCGGCGCCGACTGGGATTGAACCCAGGCCTGCTGGGGTGAGAGGTAATCACGCTTACCACTGCACCACCGGCGCCGCTCTACATAAATTCAACTAGTTTTTTTTCAAGTAGTTTTTGGAATCAAAAATAAAATTCTAACTCGATTGATTAATTAATCGTTCGTTAGTTCATGGTACCAAGGCAATTTATTGTACAAAATATTGCAATACACTAAATTATTATTTTGCACGTACATACATCGAATGGAAAAGAAAACCCTAATAAATTTGGTAGGGTTATTTTGCTTAACGACGTGTTTGAGGTATCATCCAAACAATTTGTGGAAAAGTTCGATTATTTGGGTTATTGTTCGTTTATGGTATTTGTTTATTAGGGAAGTTAAATTTAGGTTTTGGCATAATTTTTTTTTCAATACGGCACAAGGATAAAGTTTAATTGTTTTTATTGGTCATTCTTGTGTTTCAAAGCTATACCAACCAGTGGAAACTAACGATTTTAAATTGGCTCACTACTTGACTAGCCTATTAATCCCAAGTACATCTATCCAGCTTTCCATGCTCGGTAATGGCGGCCTGTTTGTATGAATAAATGTATCCTTCACTATGCTTTTTGACACTATCTGGAGGTTTGAATTTTGACCCCTCCCTTTCCCTCTCCCAGGAACAGAAGAAAATGGAACAACATACGCCCTCCAGTTAGTGTCAAAAAGCACAGTGAAGGATAACATTATTCATACAAACAGGCCACCATTACCGAGCATGGAAAGCTGGATAAGAGTACCGTAAAACGGGGTAACATTGACAGTTTTTTAAAGTATATTCTAAATATTTTTTATAGCAATGAATGTTTTTCATTTTTTTTTTTTTTTAGAACAAGTACTGAGAATCCAAGAGTTAATTCGTTAGTAATATGTTGAACGAAAATCAAAGCATTTGCACTATTTTTTAGTTTTGTGACCAAACTTCAGTATTTTGATTTGGGGTTACCTACGTTGATAATGCTCGATGAATGTAGAAAAAAACTCGGAAAAAAAATGAGTGAAACTCAAACAATTTAGTTCTTTAAATATGAAACTTTGCATGAGTATTTAATCAGAAAAATTCATAAACAATAACGGAAATACATTTCATAAGTGATGGTTTGAGTACTTTTTCAAAAAGGTGAAAAACACGAAAATGGTTTTTTAATATTTTTGTAAAATATGTAACACATAGGGGAATTTACGTATTCTCGGCAACCTAAGCAGCGACCTTCTTTCTATAGCCTTTTTCTCTAAGGAACGCATACATATGCAGTATTGGTTTGTTTACAATCTTTTGCTGCCAGCTGCTCTAACAATTTCAGTCGAAAGAATTTTCAAAAACTGTTTTGAAACGCTTTTACAAAGCTCCAATCTTCTCTAGTGAGAGCGAGTATTGTCGGCAACCAGTTTTTCTTCGGCAACCGTTCCATTTGAACTGCATGTAAATCTGCTGTTCTATTATCGGCAACGCGAAATCAGCTACAATTTGTAGTGCGTGTGTTCCATTTCAAGAAAACCTTGCTAGATTGCTTTTTCTCAGTGGTAAAAATATAGTCAAATTGAAGCTGAAAGCATAAAGAATCGTTTGCATGCATTCAGCGAAGTGTCTTCGTAAGAAAATCCAGTGAAAATAGTGTTTCAATTTGTGTTGCCGAAAATAGTCTGTCATGCCGAAGCCGTCATTTCCCCTACTATATAAAAACTATATACGATATCAACGGAAATACCACAAACGAAGTGACAGACGACTAACTGGCGAAGAAATCCATTAAAATAATGTGGTTCACTGTAATAGAATTTTCTTGGAAGCTTGTGCCATCATCCACCAGATGGGTTAGTTTTTTTGTTTTGATTTGAACAAAGTTGATTTTGTGTACAATGATTCTTTGACAGCGTGCAAAGAGTGTATCATTTTGTCATTTTTTTTTATGCATTTCAGTTTTGAGTAGAGTGAAAGAGATAGAACCAAAACATTCTAATACATTTGGTGAAAATGCTAGTTCAATCCAGTAGTAGTGTTGCCATGTGGTACAATCCAGTAATAGTGGTGTTGCCATGTGGTACACTGAAAAACTGAAATAGCAGGTTAGTCACCAAAGTTTTCGAGCCGCTCCGTCTGTTACTTCGTTTGTGGAAATACCCTAAGCTACAATATGGAACCAATGTTTCTTATTTGGAAAAAGCACAGCGAGTATATTTATTCTTTATATTATACTATCAAAGTTACCCACATTATCAAAGATACACCGTTTTACGGTACTCCATTCTTGTTGAAATTCTAGTACTACACTGTGTTTGTCTTGATTCGCTATGAAATTTGACAGATAAAATTAGGGGCTCGTGGATTTTCCTATGTTTCGAGGGGTGTATCGATTAGCTTGGAACCAGACGACTAACTTTGGTTCGCTGTAATAGATTTTTTTAGATGCTTGTGCCATCAGCCACCAGATGGGCTAGTATTATTGTTTTGATTTGAACGAAGTTGATTTTGTGTGCAATGATCTTTGACAGTTTGCAAAGAGGGTATCATTTTGCATTTCAGTTTTGAGTAGAGTGAAATAGAAAGAACCAAAACGTGATCAACTTTTTGGCTCAGCTCTGGTACTGTCTTCCGTCCCAAGCAAATCCATGAACCCCTCGAAACATAGGAAAATCCACGATCCCCTCATTTTATCTGTCAAACTTTCATAGCGAATCGAAACAAACCTTGTGTAGTACTAGTATTTTGACTAGAATGGGGTACGTTAATCGATTTGCTTGGGACCAATAGGCTAGTCAAGTAGTGAGCCAATTTAAAATCGTTAGTTTCGTATTGATTGTTGGTAGTAGTGCTGCCATGCTGCCATGTCGTTCACTAAAAAATTGCAATAGCAGGTTCGTCACCAATGTTACCGATTCTCGAGTTGGCAGAAAAAAAAATGCTGATCTGAAACGGCAAATCATAATTTTTCTAAAATTTCAGCATATCAAATATATTTTCCGAGATTCGTCAAAACGTTGTCGAAATTTTTGCAAGTGCAAGTACAGACATTTATCAAAAAATTTGCTGAGCACATCAGCAAACAGACATGATACCGATATCAGCAAATACACAGCAAAAAAAATGTGATATCGATTAATGTAATCCAAGCTGATGTATGAAATAATGATGTAATAGCAAAATGTGTGTTGTGAATGGCTGTTCAGTCTCGACAAAATCAAAATACTGCTATTTAATTCTTGTCCTGTAATAGCAAAAAGCAGATACAATATTACATCAATGGATGTAATTTTGTTCGCAAAATCGATGTAAATCGTACAACATTATATTACACAACCGATGGATTG